GACGTCGTAGTCGGGTTTGGCATGATTCTGTACACTGCCAAAAATTTCTGAATACTCTGTTCATTCGTGTCAACGCCTTGACTTTTCTTCAAGGCTCGTTTAAATGTGTCCACGAATTTTTCTGTCTGTCCATTCGATTTTGGATGATAAACTGGTGTCACGTGATCGATGGACAATGCTGTACAGAATTTCTTAAATTCACTTCCTGTAAACTGCGTTCCGTTGCCACTGACTAAAGTTTTAGGGAGTCCGAAACGACTAAAAATTTCACTAGGCGCATTTATCGTATTTGTCGCAGTTGGATGTCTGCACTCAACAATTTCTGGCCACTTAGTAAAACTGTCTACCACAATCAGGTAATACGATCCATTTATGGGTCCTGGATAGTCGATATGCAGTCGAGTCCATGGGACATCTGTCTTTGGCCATGGTTGACTCTTTACTGGTGAATCCCTTGCTGCCAGTCGACATCCTTTACACTGTTTCAACACATTTTCTATGTCCTGATCCATACTCGGCCAATACGTGTATTCTCTCATTAAAGATTTCATTCGCGAAATCCCTGGATGACCAGTGGGAAATTCTTTTAGAATTTTTTTCTGTAAAGTACAACGGCATTACAACTCTGCCTGCGTAAAGTAATACCTGATCACATATTGAAAAAGGTGACACACTCATTCCTTTTTTTGTTTTCTCGTTCAACCAGACTTGCTTTTTCATTTTCTTAATGAAATCATCGTTTTCCGCTGCTTTTTCACATCATCTAGAGTAACCGGGAGTTCTTTAATGGTCTTGCATAACAGACCCGACAATTCACTTTCGTCTCTCAGCGCCGCTATTACTGTTTCTTCCAGCGGTTCCGTATATTTCGGTATTAACCTCGACGACCCATCGGCGTGACCTAGCTTTTTTGAAGGCACATATTCCATTCTGAAATTGTAATTCAATAGAATTATACCCCAACGCTGTAGTCGATTTGTCGTGTGAGTTGGTATACCTTTTTTTGAACCAAAAATTGTTAACAGCGGTTTGTGGTCTGTTTGCAGAGTAAATTGTCTTCCATATATGAATCTGTGAAATTTCTTTACAGCGAAGATTATTGCCAAACTCTTTTTCAATTTGGCTATAATCCCGTTCCGTGGACAGTAACGTTCTCAAGGCATGTGCTACTGGCTTCGTTGATCCGTCCTCGAGTTTATGTAGCAATACAGCGCCTAGTCTATCATTACTAGCATCTGCTGCTACAATGATTTTCTTCTTCGGGTCGAAAGGCGCCAACAATAGATCTGCTAATAAACAGTTTTTTTATTTTTTTTAAAAGTATCCTCGCATTCTTTCGACCATATCCACTTTGTGACCTTTTTCAAATTGTTTATAGGGTCGCTCATTTCATACATTTTTGGGATATAAATACTATAGTAGCTTACCAATCCCAAAAACACCTGGAGTTTAACCCCATTATCAGGTGTTGGCATATTTTTTATAGCCTCAGCTCTTTCTGGGTCCGGTTTTCTTCCTTTACTGTCAATTTTCTGCCCTAAATATTTCATTTTCTTTATGAAGAACTCACATTGTTCAGCACTCAGTTTGAACCCGTATTCTGAAATACTGCTCTAATATGCATTTTATGTTGGGCCTCGTTTTCACTTTTAATCAAAATGTCGTCTAAGTATGCGATCGCATAATCCATACCAGCCAACATTGTGTCCATTATTTGCTGGAATAGGCTTGGAGCTACCTTCAATCCAAAAGGGAGACGATTTAATTTTAAAATCCCTTTATGAGTATTTATTGCCAGGTACTTTGAACATTCTGCACTGACTTTAACCTGAAGGTAAGCCTCTGACAAGTCCAACTTCGAAAACACTACCTCCGTTTCATTTAGTAAATATATCCTCCGGAGTCGGTAGAGGGTACGCATGATCTTTTAAACAATCGTTCAGGCCTGTCGAGAAATCATCACACACTCTGATTTTTCGGTTTTTCTTTTTTATATAAACGGTTGGAAACGCCCAACCCGAGTAATCCACTTTTGAAGTTACGCCAATTTTTTCCAACTTTTCTAACTCCTCATTTATTGAGTCTAATGCCGAAAATGGAACTTTTCTTTTCGATTGAAAGATTGAGTTGAAAGAAAATGTGAAACCAAAGTTGACTTCTGTTTTTGTACACAGATCTAGTCCTTCTGAAAAACACGAGGGAATTCATTTTTCAATTCTGTAATAAATTTTTCTGTTTGCTTTGTCTTATAATTTTCTCTGATGTTCACTTGGTTACAGAAAGAATTTACTGGTAATTCCCACAAATTGAATAATACTATCCAGTCTGTACCAAAGACGTTTACTGAACCAGGGAGCACATATATTTTCGATTTGTGAATTTTTTCCTTGAACGAAATGTTACATTTTAATTCACCTCGAAATTTGAGTCTTTTTCCAGACACTCCTCTGGCAATTTTGTCTGTCTTCGTCAACGGTGGGTAACCAATTTTTTTCCATGTAAGCTCGTTTGTCAGAGACATCACTTCCTGAATCGAGTAATAATTTTACGGTCTGCCCATTTATTTTTACATTGAGGTATTTTCTTCTTTGCCCCCCCCCTCAATTTCGTATTTAGACAAAACTACGTTCGCTTTTGCCTGAAACTTTAGTTTTTCATTTCTCTGTTTTGTCCGACAATGGGAACTTTTATGGCCTACACGCCCACAATTATAACATTTTTCATCATTAAAGTAGCAATCCGTCTTGAAATGCTATCCTCCACAGGCACTGCATAGTATTTTTCTTTCTTTTTGTATCTCCTTTTGTCGTACATTTTGTATTCGCGAAATATTCTTCTCCTCAATCCGAGTCGTGTCTTTTTTTTACGTTTATCATTCGTTGACATTCTTCAATGATTTTTTGTAACGTAATCTCTGGATCTCTTTCCATGAGCGAGAGGATTCTTGCTCTAATTTCTTTGTCGCTTGGTGTCGTTAGATCTTGCACAAAAATTAGACACTTGAACATGTCGCTTGACAACTCTTTCACACTTAAACGCCTCACACTGTGCGTTAACCATACCTGCCTATGTAACAAAATCATCATCATCTTGTTTAACGATATTCAGACATTTGTATCGAGTATGAAATCGAAAATTTTCGACAAAATTTCCACTGTTTCGCCAGATATCATTTCTACTGGTTTCTTTGGGAGGATTAATTTCGTATTTTCTTCTGTTCCCAACTTCTGCAACAATAAAGTAATTTTTTCCTCGTCGGACCATTGTTTTCACCTTTTCGTAAATATTGTTTCAAACCTACGAAAATAAGCCGGAAAAGTTGAACCACTGTCAGGGTCGTATTTAAATTCCGAGAGTGAATTTGAAATTCCTTCAGCCGAAAACAATCGAGAACTCGGTTCCTTTGTTGTCCTAGATAATACGTGTTCAAATAACTTTTCAAACCTTTCTTGTTGCTGTAATTGTTGCTTTTGGAATTGCTGTTGTTGTTGTTGGAACTGTTGTTGTTGGAATTGTTGCTGTAAAGTGTCTTGTAGCACCTTAGCTAATTCCGCCACTTGTTTCATTTTGTTAACGTATTCACCAGAAAACAATTCTGCTCCAATAAACACTAAAATTCGTATTCTAAACAAAAGGGGGGCAAATGTTATACAAGTTTTTCTAACGTTCCTCGTCAATAAATCAATTAAAACAAACATGAATGAAAAAATTACTTTTTGTAAGCGACGAACAAGTTTTTCTAACGTTCTTCGTTAGTACACGTTGTCGACTGTATTTTTTCTCTTTTTTTTTAACTTGTGAGGTCGTTACGAATCTCGTCGCCAACTGATATGTCCCGGAAAGGGATATATTTGAACGAAGTAGCTATGTGGATTTGGCTACTATAACCAAGTAGAATACGGTAGCAGTAATCAACTGGTACACGTCATAGTCGCAGGTAAGAAGTGTAGATCAATGGCGTCGTTATAGACTTAGCTCTCAGACTAAGGATCTTTTGACTTTGTCGTACCTACACGTCCGTCGGTATTTATGACGGACACCAGCCAATCATATTCCAGTGAGGGGGAACACAGGTGTATGCCTATTCCATTATATCAAACCTATTTTTACACGTTTTGATCCCAGTTTGGGGCTTAACTATTTGTCCATAGCTGGGACCCTAACAGGTGCTGCCACAGTGTGGACCTGGGAACACCAGCAATTAAGAGGTGGTTTCACGCTCCTCAAAATCAAATGTCTTGCTGCCAGATGTAGTTTATCGTCATACCCAGGATGGATAATAATTCCAGTTACCTGAGGATCGTCTGGTTGCATAGAAAGAATAAGTCCGGTGAGACGACACATCCTTGTCTTACGCCTTTTTCTATTTTTATATATTTACTAGATTCATTTTCTATTCGAATGCCGGCGTAGGTCGGTGTAAATGTTTTAAAATCAACTTGAAGGTGTCCATTTGATATCATTTCTGATCGGTCTTCAAATATTTTGATTCTCTGTATGTCCAAACGCTTAAGAATTATAAACACTGTAGACAAAAGGAGAGCCATGATCGAGGCTCAAAGGAGAATTCGTCGATTTACCAAAATTGACTTTGAATATGATCATGAGTTGATATCATTTGTTACAAAGGAGAGGAATTTGTGGAGAGCCACGACCGCTCACGTATTAAACAGAAACAACACATAGGAAAAGAAGTGATAAATTTGCCAGTGAAGATGTAATGTATTCATGCAACTATGATGGAATGATTTATTTTTTACGGCTTATCAAGCTTTTACAGGTTTTTTTAAAGCCAGAAAACATTTTATTTTAGAATGTAAGAAAGTTTTTGAGATAATAGTGCAAATACTATTTAACCCATAGCTGAGAGGGGAAAAGAGTTAGATTCATACCCTTTCCAAGGTTATTTACGCGTAGGTGAATATAACGAACCCGACTGGAATTGAAACTCGACTTTCAAATTCCGAGTCGTTATTCATTACATCACCTGCACGTCCAAGCTTACAGCGCCTGATGTTCCCAAGAATTCACCCATCTAGGTACTGACCAAGCTGGACGTTGCTTAACTTCGGTGATCGTATAACGACCAGTGATTCAACATGGGTATGTCCGTAAGCCTTATGCAAATATGACCAGAGATTAAAATCCTCGCCGCATTGATAGTATTTCTCCACAATCGAAGAAATTTAAGACCCAAAAGTCAGCAATAAAACCTATGGTCGCGTATTTTTTTTTGCGATGAGGGAAGTATTTTGATAAGTGACTTTCTTGTGAAGGGCAAAACAGATAATGCAAAATTCTTTTTATTTAATGTGCCGTGTCCCTTCAGGACGTAGGCGATCATGGCTCTCCACTTCCTCCTATCCCATGCAGCTCTCAATAAGTTTTGTCCCTTTGTTACTCCCCCCATACCAAGTCACATTCTGTCATTCAATTGCTTCCATAATACAGAAAACGTGGGATAGATGAAATGGAAAAACCCGACAGTTTTCACAAATTTTAGTCTCAAAAGGGGAGGGGTAGATAAAATGCAAAAAATCCGATATTTTCAGAACTTATAATCCAAAAGAAAAGGTTGGATATAATGCAAAAAATCCGATCATTTTAAAAAATTTTAATCCAAAATAGAAGGGGTGGATAAAAGGAAAAAAATCAGTTCATTTTCAGAACATTTAATCCAAAAGTGGAGGGGTAGATTAAATGCAAAAGAATCCGATCATTTTCAGAGAATTTAATGCAGAAGAGGAGGGGGTGGATAAAATACAAAAAGCCGCTCATTTGTAAGACTTTTAATTCAAAAAAGGTGGGGGCTGAATTTGCAAAAACTTTTTATTTCAAACGAGGGTGGGGACTGAATAAAATGCATATTATCTGACCATTTTCAAAATTTTGAATCCAAAAGAGGAGGACTGAATAAAATGCATATTATCTGACCATTTTCAAAATTTTGAATCCAAAAGAGGTATAGATAAAATGCAATAAATCAGATCATTTTCAAAATCTTTAATCGAAATTAGACGGGGTTGATAAAATACAAAATTTAAACCATTTTCAGCACATTTAAGAGTAGGGGTGGATAAAATGAAAAACCTGACCATATTCAAAACGTCTAATCCAAAACAGGATGTGGTGGATAAAATGAAGAAATGCAACCATTTTCACAGCTTTTAATCCCAAGATGGAGGCGTTAACAAAATGAAAATTACGACGATTTTTCAGAACTTTTAATAGTGGTGGATGAAATGAAAAAATATGACATTTTTTGGGATTTTTAATCCAAATGCGGAGAAGGTGGATAAAATTCCGATCCTTTTCCTAACTTTATCCTCGCACAAAAAAAAAAAAATAAAAAAATTGATAGATGGAAAGAAATGGCGAAAGAGGATGTGATAAAAGGCAATAAATAAGCAAATATTGATTTTCCTCCAATTTTTCTCTCTGCTGTATAAACAATAAAAACAAAGAGAATAGCAACACCTCTACACACATAGAGATGTGCGCACGAATATTTATCCCCACCCCCAGACAGATGCACCCCCACAGAGGCATCCACACTGACACGTTTATTAAGTGTGTCCTAAAATTAATCGCTTTTCAGTTTAAGAGAAAAAGTATATCAACCCACGATGCATGCAGTCAAGTAACTTCCAGCCTATGTATGCTGACTAATGAACTGGCATGTTGTTGTTGTTATTCTTTTTCTTATTCTATGTGATGTTTTCCTTCAGGAAGTGGGCTATTATGACTCTCCACAACTTCCTATCGTTTGTAACTCTTGGTAAAATTACTCTTTTTACTATCACTCCGACTCCCTGGACTACAACCTCAGTCTACACAACCTCGTTAAGTAGGCTACTCAGTATTTTACCCTTCATTTTGTGCTTTTAATATATCCTGGGAGTGTCAAATTCTCTAACCCTTCTTTCCTCATTATATGATCTAGAAATTCGAACTGTCTCTTTTGATCATTGCTCACATGCTCAGTTCATGGTATTCTCAGCTGCTTCCTATAGAACAACATTTCTATTCTCGTCTGTCATTTTGTCATCTGCAATTGATGAAAATTATTATTATCCTCTTGTCGCCCTGAAACATAATGTCTGCCGTTATCTTCATAATAGTGGTTCCATGAGCTGAAAAAACGGTAAACAGACAAGTTTCAGAATTTTTCATTGAGTTTTACAAAAGTTAAATTGTGATTTCAAGACAATATCATTTTGACTCCATTTTGATTCGCTTAAGAATGGGTTTTAACCCAAAACGAAATTGTGAATAATAATGGTATTTTGTCATTAGATGTTAGTGCAAATACTTTTTTAAAATTTCTCATGAAGCAAAATTTTTATTTGAACAAGGTATCTATAAACAAAAACAATTTTTTTGCTATCCCCTGCCAGCCGAATTGACGGAGAAAGCATTACCTTGCACCATTGCCAGTAAGACACGCTGCAGGGGACACAATCCCACCAATCCTTCAAAGGAACGCCATCGAACGAGGGCCAATAACCCCAGAAGTTTCTCCTGCCACTAGAGTAAAAATAAATTTATCTGTAAGAGAAGAATATTTGGGTAGTTCTTTCGAACAACCTTGCAGCATCTGGGCCAAAGAATTACTTTCTATCCCACTAGAAACATCAAAACAAGAAAGATGGGATAAAATAAAATACGAGGCCAATTTTACGAATTTGAGTCTCTCTCTGGATCAGCATCGCCTCGCCTGTCTACTATCTGCTTCACAACCGAGTAGTGGCGCCTGGCTCAACGCAGTGCCCTCTTCATCTACCGGTACCCTTCTACATGATGACTGCACTGGGGTTGGAGTTGAGATCAGTCATGGTCTCAAATTATGTGAGCGTCACAGATGCAGATGAGGAGTTTCCATTGATGAGTTTGGTTTGCATCCTCTTTCCTATCATTGTTGTGCCGGCCACTTTCCAAGGCATGCAGCAATAAACGACATCATCAGAAGAGGCTTGGATGTAGCTGGGTTCCTCTCCCAAATCAAATCAGTAGGCCTCAACCGTGGTAATGGAATCCGACCAGATGGGATTACCATTTTCCCTTTTAAAGTGGGGAAGTCATTGATCCGGAATGTGAACTGTGCTGATACGTTTTGGATAGTGATTTCATTAGGTCCTCCCTGGAGCCGGGGTCTGTGGCACGGGACGTGCAGATAAAAAAAACCCCAAAAAACAGTTAAATATTTTTCTTTTGTAAATATTTGGTTGATGTCCATTACCATCTAAGTTGCTATTGGCCTAATTTAATCAAAATAAAGAAGTAAGCGAGATTTAAAAGGATATATTGAAAAATATTTTAATATAATTGCCTAAATATATTTTTTAATAAATTTTTATATTTTTTTTTATAAGAACAAGATTTTGTATGAATTAAAAACAATCCAAACATATTTAGCTTTTTAATTTTCTTTATAAATTATATAATTATAATTGAACAGAGTCGAGTTTGAAATCAATTTTCTAAAATATGAAGTCATCAACATCTAAAAACAACCTGGGACTGAATATGCTACAGGATATGGTGAAAGAAAATTATGTTAAAAATTCTGATAAGACTGAAAAAGTGCATGCTATCACTTGACTGGTGAATAGTGAAATGCTCACTTGTTAACAAAGATACAACACAGAGAATAGCATTGTAGAATGGTGAGAGTGGTTGGAACATGAAATCACAAAGCAGAAGAACAATTTGGAAAAAACTAAAGATGTCAACTGTGTACAGAAGGAGAGAGATGTCTGTCGATCATGACTTTTATTATAACATTTCAGTTCCAACTTATTTATCAAAAAACAGAGATCTTTGACTCATTTATAAAAAGAAAAACAAAGACTCCCTGAAGTTAAATATTGATTAAATAAAGACATAGCCTAAATAAACAGCGACAGAGTATGTTAATTAGATTTCATGACATCAGGAGAGATGTTTGCCATAAGACAAAAACAATTTTTAAAAATGTAAAAATGAAAATATAAAATAATTTTTTAAAGTGTTATACAAAGTCAAATTATCACAAAAACTAACTAATGCATAAAACCCATATGAATAAATGGAAGAGAGAGTTCATGCCTGAAAGTTATAACATGAAAATTATTTTATTCAATGAATGTGTGAAAAATTGTCATATTCATTGTGGATTTGTCAGAGATTTTCAGATGAATTATTGTTAAGAATCAATGAATGTTATGGACTATCCTCATCTTAATCGTGGTTTTTAGCCAAAGAATTTGAGATGATTTGACATTAATATAAAATAAATGGTTTGGAGTGTCCTCAGCTTCATTGTTGTTTTTGTCAGAGACGTTCAGGTGAGTTGATGTTAATATTCAATAAATGTTTTCGACTATCCTCATCTTCATTGTTATTTTTTTTGTCAGAGACTTTCAGATAAATTGTTGTTAATATTCAATGAATGTTTTCGAGTATCCTCATCTTCCTTGTTGTTTTTGTCAGAGACTTTCAGATGAGTTGTTGTTAATATTCAATGAATGTTTTGGACTATCCACATCTTCATTGTTGTTTTTGTCAGAGACTTTCAGATAAGTTGGGGTCAATATTCAATGAATGTTTTGGACTATCCTCATCTTCATTGTTGTTTTCGTTTGAGGCTTTCAGGTGAGTTGTTGTTAATCTTCAATGAATAATTTCGTCTATCCTCATCTTCATTGTTGTTTTTGTCTGAGGCTTTCAGATGAGTTGTTATTAATATTCAATGAATGTTTTGGACTATTCTCATCTACATTGTTGTTTTTGTCAGAGACTTTCAGATGAGTTGTTATTAATATTCAATGAATGTTTTTGACTATCCTCATCTTCATTGGTCGTTTTGTCTGAGACTTTCAGGTGAGTTGTTGTTAGTATTCAAAGAATGTTTGGGATTATCCTCATCTTCATTGTTGTTTTCTCAGAGACTTTCAGATGAATTATTGTTAATCTTCAATGAATAATTTCGTCTATCCTCATCTTCATTGTTGTTTTTTTCAAAGAATTTGAGATGAGTTGGTGTTAATATTCAACGAATGTTTTGAACTATCCTCATCTCCATTTTCGTTTTTGTCTGAGACTTTCAGGTGAGTTGTTGTTAGTATTAAATGAAT